CTTGCAGTGCAAGATTCATCCAATGCAAATCTGGGATCCCAAGTCCGCCGGACCACCACGGCGCACAAACCGATCTCCAAGCCACCCTACACTGGCTGCCGTTGGCCTCTCCCCAGCCTGCCCAAAGGAAGCCCCTAAATATCTTGTTGATCACCTTGATTGTTTTCGGAGGGAGCTGGAGAGCGAGCATGGCGTAGATTGGTATGGCGCAGAGTACCGATCGAACAAGCACAAGCCGGCTGCTCCGTGGCAGGGCCACTCCTCTCCACGAGGGCAGTTTGTTGGCCACCTGCCTCACCAGATCCTCGAGTTGTGACGCGGTCAGCTTCCGCAAGCTGAGTGGCAGCCCCAAGTATCGACAGGGAAACATCCCAATAGCACACCTCGATACCGTACTTGGCTCTATGCAGAAATCAAGGTATACCTCAAGGGACCCTCGTTAAAAATGAAGTGACCATGTGCTCCCCTCACAATTTTGGAATGCATTTCTGGATAGCCTCTTATACATAGCGTCCCAGGGCTGAAGGCAGTTTCCCACCAGACGGGCTTTGCGTTAGTGTTGGGCGAGGGAAGAGTGTAGGACTAGATGATACCTCATGCATTGCTGTAGAAGTTGGTTGCAGTATATTCCATATAATTTTGTTTTATGAAACATGAATTTTTGAATTAATTATATGGTAACTAAAACTAGATGAAACACATAATTTATTTAAAAATGATTATTGTATAGTTGTAAAAAAATAAGAATATAAATAGCATAGTATAATAGAAATGGTTGACATTTTTCCCATGAATGGTTACATGTTGAGGTGACATTTTAACATGTTAAGAGATCAACTATTTAGTATACAATCTCTACCCATTATAGCATTATTCAAGTAGATATAGATCAAGGATGGGCTTGGTTAATTAGCCACACTTTTTTTAATTAATTAGCCACAATTAGCCATCTTTGGTTTGATTTTTAAAAATGGTTTTAAAGACAATTATTGGATGGGATGATACAATCAGAAATGGTATGGATAAGTTTTGAAATGAACCATGGTGAACACTAGGCAATCGGTGGCGGAGATTCGAAGAAAAAACTGGGAAGGCCAGCTCAAAGAAAACACAAAAACTTGGCTCCCTGGCGCAATTTGTAGAATGTAAATAACAGTTGCATGAAAAAAAATCAAGCAATTGCCTAGGTCACCGGCTGGCCGCTGCTTGCTGCAACGTTGCCTCCTGCGACTGGCTTGGACGCGTTGGATCAATCGAGTAGCGAAATTAGCTTTGCTTAGTTAACTGACCTCCGAAGCATAAGTTTTATTAAAATCACAAAAAATCTCGGCGGGCTATGGCCAAGTTCTGCCCTAACGAAGCTCCGCTCCTGCTAGGCGTTGTCCATGCCTTGTCATAAACTCATTATGATGATTATTAGTTGGTTAGATAAAATGTTTGATCATATAATGAACCCACAATCATTTCTCTTTTAAATTTACAAAGTGACTTGAGGAAACATGCAACTATAATGAAACTTGGAGGATTGCAATGGGGTCAACCAATAACCATGTAATAGTTCACCTTTGCAACCGGAGACGACAAAGAAAATAATAATTGAAACAACTGAGAACATGATTGTTTTTCTTCCATAAAAGCCGAATTAGCGTAACCATAAAATGGTATTACATTGAAAAGAAACATGTATTACAATCTTCAATCAAATAAAAAATTAATGAATCAAATAAACAAATCATGTGGCGTATTCCTAGAACTGAGCTTGAATATGGTCGACCATCTTCTTGTCCACCTGGAAGGCTTTGGCAAGTATATCACCTGAGATGGATGGATTCGATCCAAACACTGTACTGGCTATGGTGATCACTCCAGGATTTTTGCTGCTCAGCGCTGCAATGGCTATCGCCTTGTTGGTTCCGTAGTTGAGCTGAAAGTGAATCATCCCTTGTGGAAACACAAACACATCCCCTTTGTTAAGAACTTTTGAGAACAACTTGTTTTCAGGGTTCGAGGTGATGAAACCAACATAGAGCGAGCCTTCCAGCACGGTCAGGATCTCGGTTGCACGGGGGTGGATATGTGGTGGGTTTTGACCATAGGGTGCATAATCGACACGAGCCAGGGAGATGCCCAAAGTGTTCAACCCAACAATTTGCGCCACATTAACTGCGGTAACTGCGGAACCTTGCTTGTTGCTCGTGTTCCCGGCCATGTGAAGGCCAGAGAAAAAGAAATCTTCTACCAAGGCAGTCTTTGGGTCTTTGCATGCAAATCCATTGACGAAAACTGCACATACATATCAAGATTTTGAACAGTTAACAACTACATATTGGCAGGCACAAATAAGTAGCTCGAACGTTCCAGCGGAGGAATGCATATATGTACCTTGGGATGTCCTGTCAGCGACGCAGAAATCCTGGAGCTGGCCTGGGTCGGAGGCAAGAGCACTAGAAGCTGACAAAGCCAAAAGGGCAAGGAGGATGAACCCTGAGGCCATTTGGATGCGAACGTTAATTCTCACCAGATCAAGTGTCTTCTGTCGAGTAGACAAAAGAGCTGTGCAGACTAGTTCTAGTGAGTTGTGAACTTGTGATGCTTCGAAGGGTTGAAGGAGACCAGTATGTATATGGAAAGGGACTTGGAAGGGCATATGTGTCTGTTATGTTGGGGCGCATGTGGATATCAAGGAAATAGTCTTCACCAATTCCCGCCTCAGTAACGAGGAAACCGTGTTCCTGGCAGTGGCAGGCCTGCAACGGCCAACTAATCATAGTTGTATATTCATGGTTTGAACAAGTCATGTTCATACTTGTACATTCGCAATTAGATGGAGCTAGCGATGATGCCATCAAACATATTATTATGAGGACTGCCCCCATGCATACAGCCGCCCCTGCCTGAAAAACCATTGAAAGGTACTTTTCGTCTTATAGGCTGATTAGCTAAGACTAATCGCAATCAGATAGCTGATTGATCTTTTCCTTTTGGCCCTAACCTGCACTTTCGACCCGATCTTTGTCCGCTACGATTCCTTCTGATTCTCCTGCTGCAAGAGCCACGACAGCTGCCGGCCTGCCACACGGCCGGCGGACATGCTCACTAAATTTGTTCATGCTCTTGTTTTTCTTTAGATTTCCATGTCCCTAAGCTTTTTGAATGAACCTGTGTTTCGAAAGAAGAATTGTCACGAGGGTAGGGTGCTCTGAGATTCTATGAAGACTAGTAGAGTGCCCGTGCGTTGCCACGGGCTCTTGAAATAGTTTGCAAGAGTTACATGTTAACTTTCTAAAGTCTTGCCCCGCTGTAGATCCAGACCCCCACCACTGATTCCACCCTGCCTGGGACGCCGCCTGCCGTCGTGCCGCCCCATCGCGTTCGCCTACGCTCCGCCCCGACCCTGCCCGCCTCCTCTCTGGCCCCGCTCCATCCGCCTCCTCTCCGGTCCGTCCGCCTCTGCCCCGCGCCGCACGTCGCCGCCCCGCTCCCCGATGGCGCCGAAGAAGACGCCGAAGGGCAAGTCCGGTTTCTTCGGCATGAGGGCGAAGCCCTCCGGGAACTTCGGACGGGAGTTCTCCGACGTCGGGCAGCGTTGGTGGCTCGGCACGTATCCCACCGCCGATGAGGCCGCGCGTGCCTATGACGTGGTGAGGTGGCATGCCGGACCGCCGAAGACGGACCTAAAATTCCCGAGGTCGAGTCTTAGGCAGTGGCGAAGTGGCTCGTGCCGCAAGGCATCCGGATGGAGGAGATGCCGGCTAAGAAGGCGAAGAAGAGATCGGCGATTGTTGTCGCTCCCGGCGAGAGCGACGAGGCAGCGATGGTTTGGTTTGCACGAGAGCATCCGCAGTACGCCTAGGCCAAGCTGGAGCACTACTGAAAGCGCGACGTCGAGGCAAAAAAGAAGGGAGTGAAGAAGGAGGACGAGGCCGGCCCCTCGACTGTGATCCCTATCGAGTCATCGGATGAGGACTGGGATGACACCGAGGAGGAGGACGAGGGGTGCGATGACCCGACCAAGGACGAGTTCTGGGAGCAGTTCCGCAGCTCCGACGACGAGGAGTAGTTTCATCTAGTAGTTCGAATAAGTAGTAGTTGAATTTGTGTATGAAACTATGTTGAATTTCATGTCTGAACTATGTTGAGATGAAGTAGTAGTTGACCGTTTTAATCTTCGTTTTGGACCGTCCGTTGGAGTTGCTCTTTCTTTTTACATCTTTGTTTTGGACCATCAGTTGAAGTTGAGCCTTTTTTGGAGATGTAAAAAGCACATTTTGGTGCTCCAAATTTGCACCGTCACCGATTTGGACCACCAAAATTTGGACCATTTATTGGAGATGCTCTTAGCTAGAGATAAGAACTGTCAGATCTCATCACAACAACCGAACTTGTTATAGTCGCGTTTTATTCTGTCTAGTCCACAGAAATAGGAACAATTGAACGGGTTTGATAAGAAGATGGCTCAACTAAAAAAAGCGGATGGCTAATGAGAAAAATCTTTAGATTTCTCTTCCTTTTTTCTCTGAGCGGCTAAGATTAACTCCAAGAAAGACCCCAAATGATCCTCTTCTGACCATTTCGACCGAAACAAGCAGATGCAACGGCCTAACGCACGCTCACATTTGCAAAGTCTGTCCACTTAGTGTCCGTATGGACGTATTTCAGGCTCAATTTTGTGTCTGGTTTGCATCCACACGGACACGAAACGGACGCTCGCTCGTCCGCTCACCGTCTTCATTGGGACCCACTTTTGACCATAGCACACAAGGCATTCTTCCGGTATCCGGGAGTTGCATCTTTATAATCACCGTCTGAAGTAAATATGCCCATGCGTTGCAACGGGAGAAAAAATATACTATGCATTATTCTCACAAGTGTTTCTCCCTCGCAGAAAAAATACCATTGGCCCATTGTTAGATCATGCTCATACTTGCTACCTCCTACAGTATCACTTTTATCTACAACGGCCTACTCTTGACTATAGGTGCCCATGCATTGTGACGGAATGTACTGTAGCAGTAATGTGTATTTCATTATTGATCCATTTATCTATAGCAACAGACTTCCATCAGTGCATATTAGTATACCATATATAGGCACATAAACAATGTGCTTCTCAAATTGAACTGATAAAGTAGCAGCATGAGGAGAAACAAAAGGCTAAAAAAATCCATATATAGCTGTCTATCAATCAATCATAACATATCAAAGCTCCATGGATTTAGCCCACTAATAAGATGAAAATGGAACATACATATTCTTACCATTGCTTTAGTTATTGATATCATCATCCCTAAATGTCAATCACAAAACCACTATTACATGGACATAAAAAAATGAACTGTGTATTGTTATCTTCCTACTTACATTGCAACTTCCGAAGAAGATTCAAACTGAAAAGAACAGCATGATGGTCTGAAATTCTTTGGTGCAAAAGAAAAATGCCGCATTGTCCGGCCATTCATATCATGTCGACACCATAGTTCACACCAAGCCTTAAAGTTTGCATTAAGTAAAGAAAACAGTCCAAAATGGGCAAAGTACCAAAGGATTGGAAATGGTCAGCACATTTTCGCTGTACAGGGAGCCCTGTTCATGGGCCAGCCCCCTCTACAAGGAGGCTAATGTCGTCTTGAATGAGGTGTGCTGCCACTGAGCACATGATTGCAATTTGGCTTTCAAGAGATGATGCGAATCAAATGGATTTTAAAAATAATAGTCAATGCTATTACTTGCTGGTAGTGACTGCAAAATGTTTGATTTTTTCACTTTTTAGCACAAAACATAGCTACTGGGGAAAGTGACACCGGGAACATTAAAAATTGTAGGACTACAGAGTAAAGAAGCCCTGCTTCCAGATATTGACTTATGCTGATAAACACAAAAATTATATGGTAATTGATGCTAACTAAGACAAGCCCAGCATCTTCACCCTTCTTTAAAGCTTCATCTATCTCTGGGTCACTAGAGTGATTCTTTGCCCAATCTTGTATAGTTTATGGTCATTGGTCAGCATAACATCTACATTTTAGCACGGGGTAATGAAAATAGAATATGGTAAATTTACCTGAGTACATCCCACAAATATTTGTACGACGGATGCACCAGCTTGCGCTCCATAGGATTTTTTTCTATGTTGGTCCTTTGATTCATAGGATTGGATTTCATAGGAACTTTCCCTATGAAATCTTTTGTATTATATTTCATAGGAAATTTAACATCCACTCCAACCTCTTTTTTTACAATTCCTTTGTTTTTTCTTGGCATCAAACATTCATTGCTAATCCTATAGGATTCAAGTGGGCATGCCACTCTGAAAGGATCGATATAGTTGACTAGAGGGGGGGGGGTGAATAGGCAACTAACAATTTTTACCTTTTCTTTACCAATTTAAACTTCGCATCAAAGTAGGTTGTCTAGATATGCAACTAGGTGAGCAACCTATATGATGCAACAACAACAAGTACACAAGCACGCTAGGGATACAACACAATATAAGCCTGCACAAGTAAAGGTAAGAGATAACCAAAAGTGGAGCCGGTGAAAACGAGGATATGTTACCGAAGTTCCTTCCCTTTGAGAGGAAGTACGTCTCCGTTGGAGCAGTGTGGAGGCACAATGCTCCCCAAGAAGACACTAGGACCACCGTATTCTCCTCACGTCCTCACACAATGCGAGATGTCGTGATTCCACTATTGGTGCCCTTGGAGGCGGTGACCGAACCTTTACAAACAAGGTTGGGGCTATCTCCACAACTCAATTGGAGGCTCCCAACGATGCCACGGAGCTTCACCACAATGGAATATGACTCCGAGGTGACCTCAACCGTCTAGGGTGCTCAAACGCCCAAGAGTAACAACATCCGCGAAGGATTAGTGGGGGGAATCAAATTTCTCTTGGTGGAAGTGTAGATCTGTGCCTTCTCAACCAATCCCTAAAGAATCAACAAGTTTGATTGGCTAGGGAGAGAGATCGGGCGAAAATGAGCTTTGAAGGAACAATGGAGCTTGGGGGGAAAAGAGGTAGATCAACTTGAAGAAGAAGACCTCCTGGGGGAACCAATCCAACCGTTACCCCCTTCTTCAGCCTGCACGGAGCGGTACTACTGCTCAGTAGAGCGGTACTACCGTTGGTCGCTGCGGTACTACCGCGACCACCAACGGTACTACCGCATAGACTGGGCGTAGTAGAATCAGAGGGAGAACGAGAGAAAGAGAGGGGGTATGGGCGGCACTAGTAGCGGTGGTAGCCGCGGTACTACCGCTGCTACTGCCGCTACTACTGCTGCACAACCCGACACGAGAAAATGCATCCTCGAATCGAAGCGGTGGCATTGCTGAACCAGGACCGTACTGCCGCCGATGCCCAGAAGCGGTACAACCGTTGTAGGATAGCGGTACTGCCGCTTAAGGACCATGGGCAGTACTACTGCTCTGGTGGCGGTACTACCGCTTTCTCCTCCCAGTGTCCACTTTTGTTAAAACAACAACCTCCAAGGAG